GAATGCACGGCCAGAGGCCCAGAGTCACCCCTGCTTCCTGTGCGCCAGGTTCCAGGGATGTTCAGTCCCCTCAGGAGGGAGGTGGCTGCACTGTGCTCAGAGTACGGTGGGCTCGGGCTTTGCAGGACGGCTAATGGCTAATTCATGTGGGATAAATAACTATTTAATTGCACTCTAATTACGTGACAATTAGAATTCATATTTCAGCAGTGTCCTTGGGTGTCTATTTAGGACCTGCGTGGAGCACAGTTACCTCGCCCGCAACCATTAAGAGCAAGACGATAAGTAGTGCGGGCAACACGACAAATTACGGGGCATAATCACCCATGTAATTGCTCTCCCATAGCCCAGAAATTATGCGCTGGCATTATTGGTGTGTTGCAATTTATTCGTATACCTAATCACGGTCTCCTTTCACAAGCTGGGACCCAGCCCGAGAAGGGCCGATCAGGTTTGAAAAATCACATACCAGTCATCTGATGGAGACCTCGGCGGGTGGGCTGCTGGCATCACTGCCAGTGAGGGGCACGAAGTGAAGGCGGAGGTGACAGAGGTGGGAACACATGGCTGGCACCAAGGTTGGGGAGGTCCAGCCATCCCAGCTCCAAGAAGCCGAGACGGGAGGAAGCACCACCCTAATGCACACAGCTGTCTCCACCCGGCCAGCTCGATGCCCTGTGGGCCTGGTCCAGCCCTCGCTGCGTGTCTCAGCCGGGGGTGCCCTCTGCCCAGCGGGCACAAGCGGCCCTGTGTAAGGACCCACTGTGCCTCTGCTGTCTTCCCCTCCTCTGGCTTCCTCAACTGCAGGGTTTTTGGCTGATTTTCACGTCTGCAGCAGCACTGCTGAGGCAGGGGAGGGGCCTGTAAACACCTGCTGGACCACATTGGGAGTTCAGCCCCACGAGAACCATGTTATAAAAGCCAGCATTTTTCCAGGGTGGAAGAGGAGGAGGATGCAGGGAGATCTGGTCGGAGAATATCAAAGTTACTCTCCCCCAAGAATTACAATCACCTTTTAAAAATAGCTCCAGCTTGTTTGGTCATGGAATGACCAATAAGCAATAAGCAATCAATGCATCAAGACAAACTCCCAGGAGTGAAGTGGCCCTCCCTGGGCAAATCCTGCACAGGAAAGGCCAGGGCGAGTCCTGGCAGCCACAATGGCAGTTGGTACAACGGACAGAGCCCACCTGGGAACGAGATGGTCTAAGCAGGGAAGGGACCCACTGGAAAGCAGGGCTTGGCCAGCTCCCAGCCCCGGTGGGAAACAAAGCAGGGACAGCAGCGAGGCCAGCAGCCAGAGGCCCAGGGACTCAGGCCCAGAGCACAGAGCATGGGCTCCCCACGGTACTAGCGCCCGGCTCCAGAGGTCAGCAGTCTGAGATGAGGCCGGACAGCTAACAGCAGGTGCCTGCAGGGCCCGTTCCTTGTGGAAACTCCAGTGAGAAACTCTCCTTGCCCTTTCTTCTTTCTAAATACCCTGGCTCCTGGCCTCTCCTCCATCTTCAAAGCCAGCAGTGCAGGGTCTCCAGCCTCTCTCTGACCTCCTACTGCCCCCTTCCAAGGACCCTGCAATGACACCAGGGCCATCTGGATGATCTAAGTAGGCCCCTGTCTCGGGACCTTAACGGGACCCATCTTCAGAGTCCTGGTTATCATTGAACTTGACATTTACAGGTTCTGGGGTTGGGAGGTGTGCAGCACCGGGGTGGGGACATCACTCCATTCCCCTCGTTCTCCCTCAGGTCACAGAGCTTCCTTAAAGAACACACAAACCAGCCAACAGTTCGTGATCCCATCCCTCCCTCTGGATGCTTCCCAAGTCCTACTGTCCTCTGCCTTCAGCCTGGCTGCAAGGCCCCCCAAAGCCGTGCTGTGTGTGCCATGCGCCAGCACCGCAGCCTGCATGCTCACACTGACCACATTCCCAGAGAGGGCCAGCCCTGATCCATGGGTGAGAAGGGACACAGGGTCACATGCAGGCCCCAAGAGGCCGGCAGCTCTTGCTTCATCTGCCCCGCCGAGCCTTGGTCTCTGTCTCCAAGTTGAGTGACACCAGTGCTGACCCCTGCTCCGAGGATTAAATGAGATTTGTAGCTATGATCTCTCCCTGCACATCGGGGTTGCAGATAGCTGCCCTCCTGTCCTGAGACCAGAAGCTGCGATCGAGGTGCAGTCGGTATGCTTTCTTCCCCAGGCTCCAGGGCAAAGCTCTCCCACACTGGGCTTTTGCCATCCGGGGCTGGCAGCCTCCTTGGCGCTCCTGGCTTGTGGCTCCGTCACTGCCTGGGTTGTCCCACTGCCTCCTCCCATGCGCCCCACATCGTCTTTCCGTGCAGTGCTTGTTGGTGTCTGCATTTGCCGTTTAGTTAGAGGAACCCCAGTCATGTTGGAAAGGCCTTGTCTCCCCCCCATCAGAGCCACAAAGACCCTGTTTCCACAAGAAACCATGCTCACCCATGCCAGGAGTGGGGACATGGACACAGTTCCTGGGGCCCAGTTCAGCCCATGATACCATCTACAGCTGTGGTGTTCAGCAGTGTCAGTGACTGTAGCTTCTTATCTGAGCAAAGCAGGAGTCTAGCAGAAGCAGACCTGAGCACAGGCAGGGAGCCTGGGGCGGCAGACCCATGACCCACCCTCCCAGGGCTGTCCGGAGACACAGGAATGGCCACAGCTCCAGGCCTGCGCCTCTCCCTCAGTTCCTGCTGCTGCAGGAACAGGGTCTCAGGGCCCCTGCAAGGTGGGGACAGATCTGTCTGCTGGTGTCCGGAGCTGCTTGGAGGCAGCAGTGTTTGGGCCCAGGCCTGGGTCGCCCACCTGCTGTGTAACCTCTGGGAAGCTGCGTGGCCTGCCTGCGCCTCTCCCTCTCTCCATAAAACTGCATGGCAACACTGGTTGTCAGGGGGCTGCTGGGCCAAGTGGCCACAGGAGAGGGGATCAGGCCACTCCATCACGCCAGCTCTGCCTCTGCAGTGAGTGGACCTTTGCTCTCTGCAACACAGGAGTGTCCTCAAAAGAGACTTTGGCCTGGTTCTCGGCTAGTCCTGAGTGCAGGGGAGGAAAAGAGGACATGGGCTGTGGGGCCCTTGTCCTAAGTCACCCAGGACAGTCACCGGTGGGGTGGCCAGGGACTCTGGGACCCAGCGAGCTCCTGGACCCTTGGTTCAACATCGTGATCTTCTGTTGAAATGCGCTTGTGTGTGTGTGCGTGTGTGCATGTGTGTGGGCGCACGCACGCTTTTAGTATTCAATCCGACACTGACACCGATACATCGGAGTCAGATGAAAATTCACATGAATTTTTAACATAAAATATCACATTGAGCGAGCCCAGCAGCCCCTCGGGCCCAGCCTTCGCAGTACCTGTGCCCTGGGGTTCCTCAGGCGGTTGGAATTGCACTTCCAGCCCAGAGCTAAGTGGGCCGCGCAGCAGCTGGGAGGGGACTGGCGGGGCGCCCAGGGTCCTGGGTCATGCCGTGACAAGAGCCGAGTGCCTGCCCCAGGCATCCCAGCCGCAAAGCTCTGACAATAGTGCAGGTGAGGCGAAAATGAAAGGGATTCATTTTGTAAGACAGCTTGCAAAGTGGTCTCCTAAGAGGCCCTCAAGTGCTGCTCCGCCTGTAATTGCCACTAAATGGACTCATAACTGTGTTCGAGTTTTCCCACAGAATCTAAGCATTACCTGGTACACTGGGCCTGGGGCAGCCCGGCCACCAGCAGCCCTTGTGTCCTCCCGGATCTGCGTCACTGTGTGCGTTGTCTTTGGCCCCTTTTCTAATTCCTCCCCCAAATCTAGGGCAGGGGCTCAACATCAGGCCCTCAGACCCTCACGGTTTTTAGAAGGCTGGTATCGCTTGTCTAGCGCACCTGTTGCCAAGGATGGGCCCGCAGCAGGTCCTCAGCCTGCACTGTGGTCGGCAGACTGGACCAAGGCTCCTCCCTGTAGCATGAGCTGCAGCCCACTACGCAGCAGGAGCTTAAGTGGGCCAGGGTGGGTGCTGAGAAGGAGCTAGAGACCTCACCAGCAAGGACGACGCAGAGGTGGGATTCTGCCCCAGGGGGAGGCTCATTCCCTGGCCTTCACTCTGCAGCCACCTCACTTACAGATGGGGAAACTGAGGCCCACAGTGAAAACAATATGTGCCCGGACTGCACAGCTCAGCAGCTGTCAGAGTGAGCCTGGTGGGTGTTAAAGCTAATTTCTGACCTCCAGAGACTTGGGCTGGGCTTGCACTGATGTGGGAGACCCACCTGCTCCCTCCAACTTTTTGGCAGGGAAGCCCAAGAGCCTGGAGGATGGTAAAACGTGCTCCTGGGTCTGGCAGACCCAGGTTCAAATCCCTGCCCAACACAAAGTGTGGCAGTGAATGCTTTTCACAATTCTCTGTGGGAAGCATGGGTAGCACCTCATTTCTGAGGAAACTGAAGCACGGAGAGAGAGAGCTGGGACTGGTCTGTCTGAGGCTCTGAACTACTTTTCTGAGAGGGCTGCAGTACAGTAGTTGGCTTTGGCCTGTGCCTCCCCTGATGTTCTGGGGTCCCCAAGTGGGCAAGAGTACAGCCACACATTTGGGGAGCTGCTCACAGAAGCCAGGGGGTAGGTTCCCAGTCCTACAGCCAGCCAGAGAGCCAAGCCAGGACACTCGCCCAGGACCAGATAGGACGCTGCACAAACTCTGGACCCACGGGACTCTCAGAACGGCTGCTCGGTGTGACACCCAGGCTCCCCTGAGGAGCTCACTCATGCAGCCGCTGCTTCCTGTGCACCCAACAGTGAGGACCAGTGTGCCCCAGACACCAGGCAGCCCTTCCTCCAAAGGCTGAGCTGGGGCCTTACAACTCTAAGTAAGTGGAACTGGGAAGGGAGACCCAAGGATGGGAGGTAAATGTCTCACACCTGAGCCACTGTTCCAAAGTAGGAAGAAGCAAACCTCACAGGCCAGGCTATGAAAGGCCAGAGCCCAGGATCAGCCACCTCCGGCCAAGCCAGCACATACCTTCCTCTTGTTGGTCGGGCAGATGTAGAAGTTGTCGATGATGGTGGTGACACCAGGCTGCAGGGTGAGCTTGGTGTAGGACGTGCCGAAGTCCGATGACCTGTGGAAAAGGGGTGGGTGTCAGCAGTGCCCTGTGGTGCAGGTGACCCGGGCCCACTCCCTACCCAGCACACCATGCTCCAGCCCAGGGGGAGCCCCTGAGCCCCCGAGTGTGGTCCCCTCCATCCCCCTTGGGCTGGCGTGTCCCTGTGTGAAGTGGGGGGTCTGCGCTCCGCTGGGGACAGAGGGAGCGCTCAGGCTGGAGCCTGGCCTGGAAAAGGGCCTAGCTGAGGACGTCCTGCTCTGAAGCCTAGCTTCTCACCTCCTGTGGTGCCACATGTGCCAGCACTCCCACGTCCTCTGCCACTTTTGATACGGAAAAGTTTTAGATAACTTAATAGATTGAATATTAAGGTAGTTGTAGAAGCAAAATAAGTAATGTGCTCTTTTAAGATTTGCTTTTCCCATAACTCCTTGTTTAAGGTGACAGTTATCTGACTCTAACCGGTAATTCATTAACCTAACAAAGTTACCGTACCAGGGTGAATTTACAATGTATATGGCCTATCTCATGTCTGTGACTTGTAAATAGGAACTGGAATTATGTTTACACATCAAAGACCACTAGGGATGAGATAATGGCTAAAAAGGATATAAAAGGGAAACGCTGAACAAAGAGGGTTCGGACACTGACCAGACCTGTTTCTGGTGTTCCCGCCCGCTCGCGAGAAGAAATTTTATTATTTTATCTGAATTCTGTGTCTCCGTGTATTTCTTTCCAAGATTTCTGCAACACTTTGACACCTGCAGAACCTGACAGACCATGTCACTATGTCCGCCTCACGGGTGACCTAAAGGAGGCCCGGAGAGGACCTGTCTGCCTGAAACCCCTCACCCACGCAGCGCTGACTCAAGGGGACACACTCGCCGGTCTGAAGCCAGTCTGGCATCCTGTCTGTGCACAGATGTCCACCTCTGTCACCAGGGAGCCCCTGCTCACTGGCTTCCCCTGTGGACCCCAAGCTCCCCGGAGCCTGACACCAGGGGTCCAGGCTGACAGCGGGCACAGGTTGGCAGGGGACAGCTGGGCACCTGCTGGGATCTGACCCCAGGGGGCCTAGGTCATGGGGCGTGGAAGAGTGGGTCCCCGACCTCCCCACCGGGGCACATCCCTCCCGGCTGTGGGGAGAGGCAGGTGGGGCTCTGCAGCAATGAGAGGGACACGGCCGCCATCTGCAGCGTGGGGGTCCCAGACACAGAGGCCACGGGGTTCATTCTGTGCTGAAGCTGAAGACCCAGTGACCCCGAAACCAAGCCCTACATCACAGCAGAACACACGGCCATGCAGATGTGCATAGCTGCACTGGGCGGGGCTGGGTGACAGCCTGGCTCTGGGCCAGTCTCACCTCAGCCCTCAGCACGCAGGGTGGCTGGGCTCTCAAACCCCGCCTCGGTGCAACCTACACTGAGTCGTGCCTGAGCAGCCCCTTCCCTTCTGGGCCCACAGAGGAGCTGGACGGGCCCGGTGCTCCTCACACGTGTCCCTTGGTGTCATGCTTTAGGTCTAGAGTGTCCCCCAAGGCTCCAGGGTGGGAGTGGGTTGGATCACGGGGTGCTGCGCTCACCCGTGGGCTTCTCCCATGTCTCTGCATGAAGACTTTCCCCCCTCATGTCTGCACGAGAAGCCGCGGGTCCGGGAAGGTGGGGTGTGTTTACCATCTCTGCACTTGGTAGGCAGGCGGCCGCACATCCTTATGTCCTTCTAGGCCCCAGGGTTACGGGGCCCTCCAGGCTGGGACAAGGGCCAGGCCCAGAGCCCCAGTCCTTGGGCTCCTAGGGTGACCCAGCCAGCGCAGCCCCTCCTGGGGCACTGGGCCGTCAGGAGGACCTAGCCATGGAGAACAAAGACATGCCTGCCTCGTGGAGGTGGAATTAGGGAGCCTTTACTCTCAAAACCTCCGGGAATTGATTTCTTAGGCAAGGAGGGAACTAAAGGAGCGACCCATTAGCAGAGGATCGATCCAGACACCCGGGCGTTCCAGACACAGGCAGAAACAAATGGCTGTGTTTATGAGCTTGAGGCCGTAAGCATCATGCAGGCCCAGCCTGGCCATCCCTCAGACTTGCCCATCGATGCCGCCCCTCCGCCTCCTGCCATCCACAGCGTCAGCCCAGGTCCGGCCTCACAGGACCCCGCCAGCCTCTTCTTCCTCCCACCTCGGCCAGCTGCCCACAGCTCTCACTCACGGGCACTGCCAGGCGTGGGCCAGCAGTTGAAAATGGGAGCAGGTGCACAAGGGCCCTGCTGGGCCAGGAACCCACCTTCCGGGGGCGTGGGGTGGGAGGATGCTAAACAATGCAGCAAGAGTACAACGGCCTCAGGATGCAAGGCCTGGGAGAGGAAGAAACAGTGCAGGGGGTGCAGGGGACAGAAGGCAGTGGGGGCTGTCTACGCAGGTGGGGCCCTCGGACAAGGGGACACGCGTGCTGAGACCTGAAGGGGAAAGGAGAGGCCGCCTCTGCCAGGGCGTTGGTCCTGGGTTGAGTGGTATCCCCCAGACAAATCCCCCTGGAACTTGTGAATGTGGCCTCGTTTGAAATAGTCTCTGCAGATGTGACCAGGTTAAGATGGGGTCACTCCGGATTAGATGGGTGTGTCACGGAGGAGGGAGGCTGTGACACACAGCGACAGACTCATAGGGAAGGGCTGTGTGGAGAGGGAGCCCCGGACATTGAGCCCTGTGACACCCTGATACCCCGCTCTGGCGTCCAGTACCCTGGAAGAATACATTTAGTTGTTTCAGCCACCAGCTTCTGGCATTCCACCATGCAGCCACAGGAAATGGAAAGGGGTTGCAGAGGTGCACAAGGACAGCGAGGGGCTCGTGGACGGCCAGGGACAGAGCCAGGGGTCACGGGGCTGCGCCCCCACCCCTAACCCATCCCTAACCCAGCCCCTCCTCCTCTCCCTGCCATGACGATGTCCCGGCGAGCAGGGGCCTCTGGGATCAAAGTAGGGAGTGCAGGCTGCCGGAAAGACCTTGCAGGAGAGGCTGAGTGTCCTGCAGCCACCGGGACAAGTCCCCATGGACACGGGCTGAAACCAAGGCACACCGTCACAGGCAGCTCTGGAGCTCTCGGGTCTGAAACGGGCCTGGGGACTCAAATCGAGGTGCTGGCAGCTGGGAGCACTCCAGGGACCCCTTGTCTTTCCACCTCCTAGAGGTCCCTGTGTCCTCAGGGGGCCCCAGCCTCCACCTTCAAAGCACCTCCCTCCACCCCACCTCCACTGTCGACAATGCCTGCTTCTGGGAACAATTCACCCTCTGGGTCCTCCTTAGGATCACACAAGGCGTAGGGGGATAATCCAGGATGATCCCTTCATCATAAAGCACTGATCCCATTGCAAAGGGAGCATCCTCACACAGCCTGGGCAGCAGCACTGGCTGTCTCTGGGGCTCTTGATAGCAAGCGGGCACTGGAGCCAGGGCATTAATGTATAGTGGCTGATGGGCTAGAGTGTGCTGTCAGAGACAGCAGGGCCTGAGGCTAAAGGGGTGATGGGGTGGGAACAGGAGCAGTCCCCAGGGTAGAGGTGGCCAGACCTGCTCTGTCAACAGCTCTCACTGACTGGGCAAGACCGCCAGCACTCAGGAAGTGGAGAATTTATCCCAACAAAAACATACTATAGCTGTAAAATATGCGCTGATTTCAAAAGAACCTAAAACACTTCACTATAACTTTTATGTGGATCACATATTGACATAGTAATATGCTGGATGTGTTGAGTTTGTTACAATCTGTTATTCAAATTATTTCATCTGCTCCTATTTTTAATTAATAGATTCTACTTTTACCGCAGTTTTCAGCTCATGGCAAAATCGAGCAGTGATCGGTCTGCACCCTCTCCCCACCCAGGCATAGCCAGATCCCTGTCCACGGCGCCCACGCGTTGGCACATGTGGACCTGCTGCCACTGCCTCATCCCCTGGAGGCCACTGTTTACACTGGGGCCACTCTTGGAGTTGGACAGATACACGGTGATGGGCCCCTTGGTTACATGTCACAGAGCGGCGACCACCCTAGCGATCCTCTGGGCTCTGCCCGCTCCTCCCTGCCTTCCCACAGGCCCCAAGGACATGGAGCTTCTCGCTGTCCCCACGGTCAGCCCTCTCTAGAGCGTCCTGCAGTGGGATCGTAGGACAGAGCCTCTCAGACGGGCTCTTCTCCTTAGCAATGCACACCTGAGCTCCCCTGCCCCTGTCGTGACCCTTTGCCCTGTTCTATAGTAGTGACACATGTGGTCCCATCCCACTCCTAAAGGGTGGGGGGGGCATCAATCTGGGCCATGTGACGAGGAGGGGGCACCTCTGGGGTGTGGCAGGGCTCCGTGCACTCGGTGTCTCCACCCAGAAAGTACTGCCCCGCGCATGTGGCTGAGTGGCTGCGTGGGGCATGCTCAGATGGCGATGGGTCACAGCGGAGCCACCGTGGGGCTTGTCTCTGCTGCTGGCCCAGGAAGTTCACAGCCAGTGCAAGTGGGGACAGGGGACCAGGTGGTGGCTCACGTTCAGGAGGTGCAGTGGCATGACTTGCGCTCGAGAGGTCAGATGGAGGCAGGGGACAGAGGGGCACAGGCAAGGTGGACAGTGAAGCTGCTCAGACAGTCGCCTCTTGGGAGAAGGCAAAGGGCTGGGCTGGGCATCGCCACGGCCCTGCATGAAGGCTGCAAGATGCGACCAGGTGAGAGTGGCCACTGGGCTCTGCACCCACGTCCCACACAGTGTGGGGGTCCCAGCTGCATGCTCGGGTCTCAGCCTCTGCTTCTCCTTGCCTGAGCATCAGAGAGTGGTGTCAGGGTCACTGAGGTCCCCGTGAACATAAGAGTCTGTGCCTGCATGCCCTCAACCTGCAGCCCAGGACCTGATGCCAAAGACACCGAGGGTGCCCAGCTCCTCACCAGCTGGTCACTGGGAAGCTCCTGCAGGGGCAGCATTGTCCTGGTGGCAATCGAGTGTCCCTATTTCCCCTGTCTCTCAAACATATGCATCCCATTCTCTG